TCAAAGGTGCCACAGGACCCTCTGTTGCTTTTTACAGATTCAGACTAACACGGCTCCCCCTCTGATACGTGTCTTTGGATAGACTCAGGCATTTCACAGTAAGCTGGAGCTGTGCAGCCAAATAAAGAGGAATAGAAGATGCCGTCTCTATAGGATGGTGTAGCCTTGCTTATAAGGTTGATTCATGCTGTAATGCAAGGAGAGATCCCACGTTCCCAAGACATGTGGGCGACAGGGGCTGGATCACTGGATAATTCCTTGTTCTGTTCATTCCCTCTGGGGTACCTGGCATTGGCCACTGTCGGCAGAAAGGACACTGGGCTACATGGACCTTTGGTCTGACCCAGTCTGGCTGTTCTTAGGTTCTATAAGGTAGTTTGCTGAGCATCACTAATTAGGATTTAGGATTAGTTTGGCATGAGGAACTGATGGGCAGGTGACAGGAAGCCACGAATTAAGGGCAGTTCTAAGGTTATTGACAAAAACAACAAGGAGTCTGGTGGCACCTTAAAGACTAACAGATTTATTTGGGCATAAGCTTTCGTGAGTAAAAACCTCACTTCTTCGGATGCATAGAGTGAAAGTTACAGAAGGTTATTGACAGTTGAAGATGAGTCTAAGGAATATGTATCACCTGATGTATGTCTAAGGAATATGTATAACCAGGTGTCAGCAGTGGGGATGTTACAGAAATACCATGGCAACTAATTGACAAAAGCTAATGAGGTAAATAGGTAACTAATTAACAGTATGGTGACCCCCCCTAGAGATATGGGTGTGGAAGCTTAGATAAGAAAAAGGGGCCAAGACACATGAATATGCATGAAATCAAGGGCCTGTCAGCATAAGCCACTAGAAGGGATAAGCGATGACCTGCTGACAAGCGCCTAAGGACTGTCTGGGATGGGGAATGTGACAAGTAATGCAAGTGCTGGTCATGTGCCCTGCTGGGAGAGGGTGGGCGTTTGCCTGGTTGGCTAATAAAGATAATGGTTAAGAAAGGGCAGTGTGGTGTCCCTCTAGCCTCTCTCCTGTAGCTGATCTGGGGGCTGACCCTACCCAGACCACTGCAGTATAGACCCTTGCCTAGGGTGACCAGACAGCAAGTGTGAAAAATCGGGACGGGGGTGGGGGGTAATAGACGCCTATGTAAGACAAAGCCCCAAATATTGGGACTGTCCCTATAAAATCGGGACATCTGGTCCCCTCTCTATTTCTTTCCCCCCCCCCCCCCCCGCTCTGTGGTGGGCCGAGAGTAACTTAACCCCACGCTTCGGGCTACAATACAGTCTAGTTAGTATTGCTGCAGGAACCCGAACGCTTGTGTTTCCTCACTCAGACTTAATGTTGTAATAACATAGTTCTTAGCTTTTCTCTCTCACACAGACATTGAAATGGGTCTGTCAAAAGTGCCCAGTTCGGGCCCTGTCTACCCCGAGGGGGAAAGGCGGCGGTGGTGGTGGGGAAGGCAGGTACGAGGGTAGCATCCCAAACTTCTGCTAAACTAAACCTACAAAGGAAAAAAACTAGGGGAGCAATCCGGCCCCAGTGAAGTCCAAGGGAGCTTTGCCCTGGAGCCGTTGTAGGCCAGTACTTCACCCCCGGGGTGTGCCCTGTGCTTTGTGTCTTGTGATGGAGAGAGGCCGGAAAGCTGTGCACATTTTTTTGCCCCTGTTCTGTTTTCTGTACCTTGGCGCTTGTCTGTGTGCCAGTGGCTCTAACTCCCTGGCCCAGTGAAAGCAGTCCAGCCCCTACCATGAGGCCATCCTGCCAGGATAAAAGGGCTTTGACCAGCGTAGTTATTCCCTGATGGGGTGGGGAACAAGCCACACTAGTGTAAGGAGCTTTCATCCCAGTACTGTTACACCAGTGCAAGGCCCAGTGTGGATGGGCCTTGCACTGGTGTAACGGTACCCGTAGGTGAGCGTGTCCCTACCCAACGTAGCACAAATGGCGTGGAAAGAGCAGGCCTCGAGCCTGCAGAGGGAGACTCGGGGGGGTGGGAGGGTCTACGGGGACCAGAACGGGCAGGAGCTGCTGAAACAAGGGCTCTCTTCCTCTGCAGCGGGTGTTAGCCTGAATCCCACCCCCCTTGTCCCCAGTTGATGGGGGTTCACAGGTGGGTCGGTGTCCTGTAACCCCTCGCCCGTAAAAACAGGGCAGGCTGCTGTAATGTTAAAATCACGCCCAGGAACAAAGCAAGCCCCGCTGAGGGGGAGGCTGGCCTTGGCGGGTTGGGCCTGGGCGGCAGGGCAGTGCTTTCGCTGGCACAGCGATGTCCGCCAGGAATGCGGGGGGAGGTGGGAGAGAGAAACACCGGAGCTGTGCTGGCAAAGTTCTGCGGCCCGTGGGCAGCACAGCCGGGAGGTGGTTTGCTGGGAGAGCCCTGGGGGTGTCTGCACCAGCAGTGTAGGCTCAGCCTCTGCTCTGTAAAAAGTTTTTTACAACTTTCCTGATGGAACCTATGGTTTCCACACCTGTTCTTGCCAGTTTCTTACCGTGTTTTGAATGACGTTTTCCACAAGTCAACTTGGAGGGGAAGCGTGACCTGAATACACGTCATAGTTACACAAACCACGAACCCAGCAGCTGCTTTTGTGCTTCCTGTTGGCACTGCACCTGATCTTGGCTGACAGCTCCGTGTTTGGCCTCCCTGTGCTGGGGGCAGGTGCGGAGGCCGTTCCTAGTGTGGGTGGAGGAGGATGCAGGCCTCAGTCTCTTCTCTCCTCTCTACTGAGCAGGGCTTTGCTTGCTGGGGAGCTGCCGCCTGCAGGAGCCATGGTCACTTTCCTCACACAGGAAGTCCAGCAACTGCTGCACAACAAGTTTGTGGTGATCGTGGGGGATTCCGGTGAGTCAGCCTAAGGGATGGCGGGTTCCCTTGACCCCTCTTGGCCATGGTAGAGCCGAGCTGTCTTTGGCTCCAAGTCCAAAGGGGGTTTTCCTGCATGCCGGGCTGCAAGCCCCCTGCAGCCCCGGCTGGGCTCTCTGCCTCGCCAGCAACCATGGTCTTGCCCTGGCTTGCACAGACAGAGCGGCTGTGTGGGGTAACCCCCTTCCTTGGCAGGACTGGCTGGGTACAGGCAAAGGGCAGCCAGGCCTCTGAACTCGCCTCCTGGGGCGGGGGGAGGGGAGTTTAAGCCCTGCAATGAGCAGAGTGGATTTCTCTGACTTCCCTCTGGTTGCCCTGTCGTTCTGGCCCCACTCCGTAATTGAAGCTGGGGTGTTCCCTACGCTGGGTGAGCTGGACCCATGTCTCCGCTCCCAGCACTGCCCTGGCACCCCCCAGAGTCTGTGCAGCACGACTGCCCTGCCCACCCCCAGCACGGCAGCTGGCATGTCGTCTCATTCCTGACATCTGCACCCACGCCGGCCGCAGCCCGCCACGAACTGCTGGCCAGCGCAGACACGTCCGATTCTGAGCAAGGGCCTCTTCCACCCCGCCCCGAACGAGCCCCGGGGCTGGTTCTTGCATTAGCGCCCAAGAGGCGAAGGTGATCCCTGGGCTATCTCTGTCTCCGTTTTTCCCTTTCAGTCCAGCGATCGGTTTACAAGGACCTGGTGTTGCTTTTGCAGAAGGACGCTCTCCTCAGCCAGTCCCAGCTGAAAGCCAAGGTACCGTGCCTGCGAATCCGGAGCAGCCAACCTCTGTCCCACTGGGCTGGGGAACTAAACCACACCCGGCCACCATTTCCCTGGGCCTCCGGGCCCTTGGGTGCCCCCTGCTGGGCCTTGCGCCCCCGACAGCCGTCGCTTCTGGTGCAGTCAGCTCTGGTGTGTGCTCCCCCTCTGGGCACCAGTTTGGGTGGCGACTGGTGCTGCATAAAGAGAAGTGGAGAAAACGAATCTGGTTGCCTGGTGGCCAGTAGCCGGACAAGCCGGTGCCCTCCCAAAGGCAGGCAGAGTGCGCGGTCCTGGCTCCAGGCCCGGCTCAGCAGTACAGGAAGCAGCTACAGCTTGTTGGGTGTGGGCCAGCTGTGTCCTCTACCAGCGGTGTTGCTTGGCGGGGGAGGATGGCTTCTCGTTTCCGGTGGGAGGCTTTGAAACCCAAATGTAGCCGAATAAGCAGAACAGTCTTGGGCCTGGTGCGCGCGCGTGCGTGCGCGTGCGCACACACACACACACGCCCCCGGCTCGTCCCACTGGCTGTGGTGCCACATGTAGGATTAGGGGATGTCTTGCCACGTGAGTGCCCCCTGCTGGCTGGTGTTTGGAATAGCATCGTCCCACTGCGCTCCCCCCGGCTGGGGCTCAGACACTGCAGCCGCCCAGAGGGAGGGTGAAAGTGGTGATATCCCGCAGTGGTGGGGTGGGGCCTCGAGAAGGGGCTGGGAAGCTGCCTGGCCTGGGGCCCCGTGGGGTTTGGATATGGGGAGGGGACGGAGGGGCACACACCTACAGCCCCTAGTCTTGTAATTTGGGTCCAGGGGGAGGCAAGGCCTTGTGGTTAGAACAGCACTGGGCAGGAGCTGGGGCTCTGGGCTCTGACCCCAGCCCTTGCCCTGGCTCGCCCTGTCCTGGGGCAGGTCCGCTCCGCTGTGCCCAGAAGAGGTCTCACGGGAAGGCTGCAGGCCGTGGCTTGGTAGCTGGGTGCAGCTCTCTGGGCTGGGACGGACAGAGGATGACCTCCGAGGGCGCTAGCCGGACAGCGGCCACGAGAGAGCATCGCTCCATTGTGGGTAGAGCCCTGCACGTGTACAGAATTTATATCCGCGGAGCTGCAGGGCTCTACCGGGAACCGCAGCCGTGAAAGCAGCAGCATGTCAGGCTGCCGCTCGCAGGAGCCAGCGCCCTGCCCGGGCAGCTCCCCCCTGCACGGCTGTACCACCCCCAGCCCCATCTCCAGCCCTGCCCATGGGGCAGGTATCAGGCTCACTAGCTGCTGTCCCTGGCCGCACTAGTGCGTGCAAGCGGCTTGCACACCTGAACTTGCACACACTAGTGCGACCAGGGACAGCTGCGGGTGAGCTGGTGCCTATCCCAGTGGGCCGGGCTGGGGGCGGTACAGTCACACCAGAGGAGCTGCCCGCGCAGGGCGCTGGCTCCTGCAAGTGGCGGCCCGACGCGCTGCTGCTTTCGCCGCGGCTGTAGGTTTTGTATCCGGGCAGGGCTCTCGTTGCGGGCAATAGGAGGGATCGGGGGCCGCGCCAGTGAGGGCTCTCTGCGTCCTGTCTCTGCCAGGGGGAGCTGAGCTTCGAGAACGACTGCCTGGTGGAAGGCGGCATGCGGGGCGAGATGACCAACGGCACCAACTACAGGGAGGTGCGGCAGTACCGCACGGACCACCACCTGGTGCGCTTCTACTTCGTCACTCGCATCTACTCCGACTACATGGAGAGCATCCTGGCTGACTTCCAGGCTGGGCCCCAGCCCGACGTCGTCATCATCAACTCCTGCTTATGGGACGTGAGCAGGTACCCGCTGCTCCCCCCGCCCTGGCAGGGTAACTCGGGCCTCTTCGGCGGCACTCTCAGGGAGAGAACTTAGCCCCTCCGGCTGCCAGAGCCTGGCCAGTGCAGCTAAAGGAGACTCTCCGCTGGCAGTACAGGGCCTGGGACACACAGATCAGCAGTTCCGAGTCCGTCCAGCCGAGGGCAGCGCTGGGCACATAGGCGTACGACAGCTGGTTCATTAAAACCCCCGTTGTTGTGGGAGGTGACCAGATCTGAGAAGGGAACTTTGTGGGGCCGGGTGCTGTGGCTCCCCATGGGTTACAGTGCGGTTCTGCTTGGGGAGAGCAGCAGAGTAAAACCAGCGTCTCCTGACTCAGCTCATCTGTCCCGTCAGTGCACGGAGCCTGCCGCACGGACACAGACGTACCTGCTTTTCACTCCGTGGGGCCAGCCGGGCTCCGTCCCCCTTGTGCGCGTGCAGCCAGCAGCGTTACTTAGTCCAATCCAGTCTGAGAGATCTGTGCAGGCCCCGTGAGGACCCAGGAGGGCGTTGGCTCGGCCAGCACCGGTGACGGGGCTGCCGACCTGCTGCCTGCCCAAGAGAAGGGCGCTTGATCCTGCGTCTGCCCTGGCTGTTGGCCCAGGCCCACGGTGTCTGAGCACCTCAGGGTGCCACTCGCGGTGCTCTACTTGGGGATGTGGAGGAGGTATCTCGGGGGCCCGCTCGCTGTCTGTGCCCCTCTAGCTTCCCCCTCGCCCTGCAAACTCCATGTCCCCCGCTGGGGGATGGTGGGGCAACCTCCCCTCCCTGCCCCTGGCCGATGGTGGCATCTTGGTGCAGAAAAGCCTGCCTGGCCAGCCTCGCCTGTAGAAATGGGCGTGAGCTGTTGCTGCTGTGGGGAGCCGTTTCTGTAGAGTGGCTGGCCAACAGGCTCCTGCCCTTGCCCAGTGCCGCTCCTCGTGAGGGCCAGAAGGATCCTACCCCTGTGTCTGTCCTGAGGGCCATGACTTCTGTCTGCTCTGCCCCCCTGCAGGTACGGCGCGAAGTCCATGAAGCAGTACCGGGTGAATCTGGAGAAGGCCTTTAACCGGCTGGACAAGGTGCTGCCCCATGCCTGCCTCCTGGTGTGGAACATGACGATGCCCGTGGGCCACAAAATCATCGGGGGCTTCCTCATCCCAGAGGTAAAGCAAACTGCAGCTTTTCCCGGACCCCGGTGCTGCTGGCTGGGGGCGGGGGTGCGGCTGGGACTGGGATAAGGTGCTGAGTCCAGGGGCAGGGCCAGCCCACGGCTCCCCCACCCTAGTGCCTTGTCTCTGCTCTGGGGGCTGGTGCCCGCTGCTGCACCGCTCTCCAGCACACGCGGGCACACCCCTCTGGTCACATAGCCCCCCACTGGGCACCCTCCTGGGACAGG